TTGGCCGACCGTTAAGTCCTCATCCACCAAACACTTCGACAACTGCGTGGGTGTGACGAACATTTTGAGACTTTCAATTAAGCCGGTCTTTCCCCAATCTGCCACGCTAGCTACATCCAAACATAATCGGCGGGAGACACCATATTTGGCAAGTTGTCGAAAAGCCAGCTGTTACCTTCTGACGTGGGAGATGACAAGCAAGTCGGCGCCCAGCAGCATTCCTCTTGTTTGAACAAATAAGTATGTGCGTGACGACGGCACTCACTGATTATGCGCATGAAAAGAGCTTGCTCATTCTATGGAATCTCCTTCGAAAGAACGCAGCCAATATTTTGGGACAAGGAGTGGCAAACGTAGTCACGGACAACAGTCTTATCATGACCTCAATTAGATTCACGATTAAACAATACCAGTGACCCATAAGTAGAACCACGCGATGACCTCCTCGTAGAATCTGACGTTGCACGACCTTTTTCCTTCTATTTGCAGCAAGTAAACAATTCTTCCATATTCGTCGTCAATCATTTGTCGCTCGTCATCCAATGAACGTATCAACTAGGGATAAACGACTAGCCATGATGAACGACGCAGCCCATAAATATATTTTTCAAAGTAAGCACAAGAATGACGAAGCCAAGAAATGTCGAGAACTGAGATAAACAAAAGGCTGTCCAGATTCTGTTCTTATACTATTAAGACAAAAATCAGAAGTCAAACTAGCCGTGTTGCTAAAGTAGCCGTTAAAATAGCCGTATGGAAACTAGCGTTATTTCAGAAGTTTCAAATAAAAATAATTTCATTATGTTATTAGTCAAAGATGGGGTAGAATATTTTATTATTGTACATAAATACATTGATTCTTCAAGAATGGGGGGAGTTTCTGGGTCTGGGAGCAAAAATAATTGGGGAATATGACATTTGATTCCCATCTTTGGAGAAATTTTTGGGAAGCTGCTATGGACGATGCTCTAAGGTTCAAATTCTAATCATCACAAACACTATTTTGCATCTACATCTCAGAACAGTAGATTACGATCATAAGACCATTACTCTTATGCTAACATATTTTGACTGTCCTATCATTGTTTAATAGGACTAGAAAGTCAGTAATTTAGTAGCTATTCATTTTGACTACGATGTAGTAATGTTTTCTCTTGGAGATTGTCAAAAAATGATCAGAATTATATAAATCATGCTCTGAACTAATGACGTCTAGTTATTAGGAGAATGGAGAAATCAATATCCTGCGAAAATCAGAGATCAGAGATATATCTTTATAACTTATTCTATGATGGATGAATAAGAAAGTTATATTGAAATTAAGGTCCATCGAAATAATAATAATAAATTGTATATTAGCGTCCCTTTTATCCTTATAAAAGTTGTTTGCAACATCATGCCTGCCTCGCTCTGGGCGTACGTCTTTCCTGGAGAAGAATTATTTGAAAAATGCAGCTTAAAGCAAGAAGGCGAACCTAATGTCCAAATAAAGGACGAAATGTATGAAGAAGTAACTGAAAAATATACAACGGATACTAGGCGCAAAGCTGTGGTCTAGGACTTGTATAAATTTAAAAAGAGGATTATCCTGAGCCCTGACTAAAGGATGCATCCAGTGGTGAGTGTGGTTCTGGAGGATTCATCGACGCAGAGAGTCGGCGGTGTAGAGGAGGCCATAGAGGAGGTAGGCGTCGAGCGAGACAGGTGGGAGGGTAGCCTGGCCAACCCCTTATTTGGGAGACTTAGTGGCGCGGATGATTGTTGCGCGGGCGTGGGGTCTGTGGCGTGTGGGAGAGGAGGAGGGCCGGAGTTCAAATGTGGTTGTGAAAACAAGTTTTCTAGCTGTACCATGCTAGATTGTGGGAGAGCAGGCGTGAGAGCCGCTGATATATTCATATACACAGAGCTTGTGCTGACTACCTTTCGTCGTATGCCATGACGATGCTCTGTATTGATACGAGGGTGGCTAGTTGAGTTTTACTGCTTAATAAGTCCAACGTGTGTATCTATGGGGGTAGTAAAAAACAGCCTTGTAGATATTTTGAGGACTTACACTCCTTGTGAGAGAAAACCGTGATGACCGCGGTTAGGGGCTTGGGCTAACCCCGAGAAAACTCTCATGAGTCGGTTATTGTGAGCATGGCCTTTACAATGCGCAAACTTGTTTTAGTCAATAGATAAAAATGTTAGTTTGTGTGTGTTTTGTATCAATACCTGATTTTAAGGGCTAATTCAAGGGGCCCTCCATTAATGTCCCTCAGGTGGCTGCCATAAACCACTACAGAAATGTTTAAAGCCGGAAGCCTACCTCTTCCCGAATTCACGATACGACATAGGTGCCCAACTATATTTGTTTTATGCAATTTCTTGATTTATTTATGTGGTTTTGATAGTTTTCAGTCAATTTGCCTTTTGGGGGACTGTTGGCCGATATTTATTGAGAAAAGACAATTTTGTCTTTGTGTTTTAGTCCCACATCGGAAATTGAAAAAGAATTCTCTCTCCCTCAAACCCATTATAAATGCATCACCCCTTATTCACATTCCACAAGCTACAAAGAAAAAAAACCTTTTTCTCCTCTCTCTGTTTTTAAAGAATTGTTTTTTCCCGTCTATATATTTCTTTAACATTAATTTGTATGGCCAAGCTTCTCATCTGAGCCTGAATTAGTCTTGTACTCTCTCGCCCGAGTACGCGTCAGGCGCCATCGTTTTTCGGGGGCTTTACCCCCCCCTTTTAAACCGCTTATAGGGGGAGGAACCATTTTGCGTCAGCGGCGGATAGGCGGTCTCAATCTTATAGGCCAGTGATTAGCACAACTGCTTCCCATAGGCCGCTGATTTTCTCCAAGTTTTCACAGGTTGACGTTTGAGGGTGAAATGAGTAGGAAGAATGGAGAATATGTTGTTCAGTAGTAATATGGAGAACCATCAAGGATAGAAAATGATTGTTTCAGACAGCACAGGAGATGATTTCTCTTTTATTTCTTATCATGTCTTTTATTTTTTTACTTTGCATGACTTGCAATTGAATGGAATTGATTCTCCTCCTCCTTATGGTGTCTCCATTGTTTGAGATGCTCTGAGAGGGTATTAATGTCCTAGACCTGTTATTAGAGAGTATAATTTTCGTTTTTGTTTTTGAGTTTGTGAGCACTATATTAGACAGGCTATTCATCTCTTTGCACATTGTTTCTAATTTAAATGTGAACTGGTCAGAAATTTTCAGGCTTCTATTCATCTCTTTGCACATTGCTTGGCTTCTATATTGATTCATATTTCATTGTATCTTTTGATATAGCATAATAAACATGTTGTATCTTACAATTATTTGCCAAGGTCTTTTCTTGGATTTTTGTGATGCTAAAAGTGAACGTACTTGTAAATGCTGCTATTTATCTAGTAATGTTTTCTTGCATCCTAAAGAACATGGAGCTATGATATTCACGATCCAATGTCGCTGTCTATTCTTAAGCTGTAGATTAGAGGGAGTGTATGATTTATCAGTCTTTGAACTAAACATCTAGTGATGTATCAACGTGTTATATTATCAGCTTCAGGACTTCTTTGTGATACAAGTGATGGATGAAGCAACATTTGATTATGTTCACAAGAGATGGTCATTAATTACTTCCAAGTTTTCACTTACAGGCTATTTAATTTTTGATCGATCTTGCTTGGTTTAGTCATGTCAAAGTGTCGATAGGCCCCTATAGTTTTAATTGTGCCGATATATGTCACAGACCTTCAGCTTCAGTTTGATGATATTGGTGATTTGTTCCATTGCAAGATAGAGTAGATGCTAGTTTTGATCTTTGATTACATATATGCGTGTTTTCTCATCAATAATTTGTATAGTTCTTTGCACATTCTCTAAGCCTCTTGAGTACAATAATTTGTATAGTTCTATGTACATGCAATTTAGTAGTTCTATATCTGGTGGTTAAGCAATTCTGAGATTCTGCAGATGAATTTCACCGAGCTCCTCAACAATAGATCGTCCCTTGATGATCTCAATGAACCACATCTGTCATATGATTTTCCATTGAGTCAGTACCATTCCAGTGGTTCTCCTTTTGAAGAGACATATACTACTGAAGCTCACACTGATCAAGAGACGCCATGTGCACCTAGCAGCAACAAATCACAAAAACAATCTCAAAGAACTATCAACTTCTCTCCTGAGGAAGACAAACTTCTTATAGCCGCATGGCTGAATACAAGCTTAGATCCAATCAAAGGATTTGATCAAAAGAAGAACCAATTCTGGAAAAGAATTACTCGATACTTTGAATTCTTTATGCTGTTCAGAGACTTGTGTTATGTGTTTTGGATTCAGAGACTTGTGTTATGTGTTTTGGATTCTTTCTTTCTAGCTTTTCAGCTGCTGAATATTTAGAGGGTAATATTTTGTTGTGAGATTAGTTTAGCAGGAAAAGTGTATCTTGTTTCTCAAGTTTGGACCTTGAACAATGTTATTGTTAAATTTCATGTCTAAATCTATATGCTTGCTGACCATTGTTACTCATTTTTTATTTTATTTTTTCCTGCAATTGCTCCCAGTCTACAAAGTTCTGTTTCTGGAAGTGAGACCTTTGTTAATATTGAATATGAAGCTTTTGAGACGTTTGAGGTAATATAATCATGTTATTTTTTAAATGATTCATTCAACTTGTCATTGTTGACAGTGGATCCATGGAATTGATTGTTAATAACTTTATCTTGAAATTGTTGACAGTGGAATTGATTGTTAATCATGTTATTTTTTAAATGATTCATTCAACTTGTCATTGTTCCCAGTAGCAAAGTTCATGGCTATATTCACATAAGTTAATAACTTTATCTTGAAATTGATTGTTGACAGTAGAGTTAGTAACTTTATCTTGACCAAGTATGCTACTACTCAATGAAGTTGAAACAACATAATATTCTTCATAAATTTAACGACATTACAATGAAGTTGAAACAACATAATATTGATTTATATAAGAAAGCAAATCACTAATTGGCTCCATGTTTTTTCCATAAGTGCTCGACAATATCTTCTTGGAGTTGGGTATGCATTTGTTTATCTCTAACTCGATGACGATTTGCGATGAACTCCATTATTGTTGGTGTACGCTCGAACGAAAGTGATATGTGTGGAATTTCATCAACATGGTCATATTCTTCTTCGATATCATGTATCTTCCTTAGTCTACGAATACGCTCATGGTCATCACGCTCGTCTTCGACAATCATATTATGCATAATTATGTATGCCATCATAATATGTTTTAGGTTATCCTTATCCCAAAGTCTTGCCGGGTTTCGGACAATCGCAAAACGTGATTGAAGCACTCCGAATGCGCGCTCAACATCTTTCCTTGCCCCTTCTTGCTCTTTAGCAAAATGTCGATGCTTATTTCCTTGTGGAGCTGGAATAGTCTTCACTAATGTTGCCCATGATGGATATATACCATCAGCAAGATAATATCCCATGTCATATGGCCTCCCATTGACTTTATAGCTAATATGAGGGGCACTACCTTCATCCAATCCACTAAATACATAAGACCGCTCTAACACATTGATGTCATTAAGTGACCCAGGTAATCCAAAGAAAGCATGCCATATCCACAAATCATATGAAGCTACAGCTTCTAAAATAATAGTGGGTTCATGAATGTGGCCAGTAAACATACCATGCCAAGAAGTAGGGCAATTCTTCCATGTCCAATGCATACAATCAATGCTTCCAAGCATCCCAGGAAAGCCGCGTCGTTCACCTATTGCAAGTAATCTCTTAAGGTCATCACTATTTGGCGACCTTAAGTACTCATCACCAAACACTTCGACAACTGCTGTGACGAACTTTTTGAGACTTTCAATAGCGGTGCTTTCCCCAATCTGCACATACTCATCAACATAATCGGCCGGAACTATGTGTGTGCATGTGTGTGAGTGATCAAGGTTTGTACAAAATGCTAAGCAAAGAAAATATAAAATTACATTTTGACAATAAAGTATATTTTCTTCTTTGCTTCATTTTGCCTTGAACTCATCTATGTCTTGAGTATCTCTTTGAAAATAATTGTTGATATAGTTCTGATACTGCAAAACAAATGTTAACACATAATACACACAATATATAATATTTGTTATTATCAAAATAAACTAATCTTGGGGTCAAGATTCCTAACATTAACAATACAGTGACCCATAATAGAACCACGATGACCTCCTCTAGAACTCTGGTTGGCACGACCTTTTTCTTCTATTTGAGCAAGTAACAATTCTTCATATTCGTCGTCAATATTGTCGTCGTCATCCATGAACGTATCAACTAGATAACGACTAGCCAACGAACGACGAGCCATAAAATATATTTTCAAAGTTAAGCAAAGATGAGGAAGCAAAGAATGTGAGAATGAGATAACAAAAGTGTCCAGATTTGTTCTTATATATATAGACAAAAATAGAAGTCAACTAGCCGTTGTAAAGTAGCCGTTAGAAACTAGCCGTTGGAAACTAGCCGTTATTTCAAAGTTTCAAATAAAAAATAATTTATTATTTATTAGTCAAAGATGTAGAATATTTTTATTATTGTAATAAATACATGATTCTTCAAAATGGGGAAGTTGTTGGAGTTGGAGCAAAAATAATTTGGGGAATATGACATTTGATTCCCCATTTTGGAGAAATTTTTGGGGAAGCTGTTGGAGATGCTCTAAGGTCAAATTCTAATATGCACAAACACTATGCAGTTACATCTTCAGACATAGATTACGATCATAGACCATGATCTTTTATGCTAACATATTTTGATGTCCTATCATTTTTAATAGTGACTAGAAAGAGTAATTTTATAGCTCTTCATTTGACTACATGTATAATGTTTTCTCTTGAGATTTCAAAAAATGATCAGAATTGATATAAATATGCTCTGTTAACTAATATGTCTAGTTATAGGAGATGTGATAAATCAATATCCTGGAAAATCAAATCAAGAGATATATCTTATAACTTATTTCTATATGATGAATAAAAGTTATATTGAAATTAGTCCATCAAATAATAATAATAAATTGTTATATTAGGTCCCTTTATCCTTATAAGTTGTTTCAAATCAATCCCTCCTCTTGCTTCCTGTACTCTTTCCTGGAAAGAATTATTTGAAAAATGACTTAAACAAGAAGGGGACCTAATGTCAAATAAAGGACTAATTATAAAATAACTTGATAAATATATACAACGGATACTAGGCAAAGCTGTGATTCTAGACTTTATAAAATTTAAAAAGAATTTTCCTGACCCTTTGACTAAAGGATTATCCAGGAGTGTGGTTCTGGATTCATCGAGAGAGATGGGGTTAAGTCCATAAGAGAGGTCACTGACAGTGGTAGCCCAACCCTTATTTGGAGACTTAGTCCCAATGTTGGTTCAATGTGGTAGAAACAAGCTGGACTAGTGACACTCATGTGGAGCATCGACCCTGATATATTCATATATCACTATGTAGCTTGTGCTACTACCCTTTCTCTATGATGACGATGCTCTTATGATACAGGTGGCTAGGTTGAGTTTTACTCTTAATAAGTCCAACGTGTGTATTATGGGGGGTATTAAATAAACAGCTGTAGTATATTTTGAGGACTTACCTACGTGAGAGAAACCGTGATGACCGCGGTTAGGGGGGTTGGGCTAACCCCTAGAAACTCTCATGAGTCGGTTATTGTGAGCATGGCCTTTAATGCTCAACTTGTTTTGCTCAATAGATAAAAATGTATTGTGTGTGTTTTTATCAATACCTGATTTAAGGGGCCTAATTCAAGGCCTATTCCATTATGTCCCTCAGGTGGTGATAAACTCACTAAGGAAATGTTTAAAGCCGGAAGCTACCTCTCCCGAATTCACGATACGATAGGTTGCCCAACCTATATTTGTTTTATGATTTCTTGATTTATTTATTGGTTTTGAGTTTTCAGTCAATATTGCCTTTTGGGGGACTGTTGGATATTTATTGAGAAAAGACAATTTTGTCTTTGTGTTTTAGTCCCACATCGGAAATTGAAAAAGAATTCTCTCTCCCTCAACCATATAAATGCACACCCCTTATTCACATTCCACAAGTACAAGAAAAAAAACTTTTTCTCCTCTCCTCTGTTTTTAAAGAATTTGTTTTTCCCCTCTATATATTTTGTTATTAATTTTATGGGCAATCTTCTTCATCTGAGCTGTAGTTCTGTACTCTCGCCCGAGTACGGAGGCCGATCGTTTTCTGGGGCTTTTACCGCTAGGGGGAGGGAACCATTTGCGTCAGGGCGATAGGCGGGTTCTCAATCTTTTAGGGCAGTGATTACACAACTGCTTCCCATCAGGCCTGATTTTTCTAACTTATATTATTTATCTTTAGATTTAATTTCTTATTTAATTCGGATTTAATTTACATGCTATAACATTTGTTTTGATAAATTTCCAACAAAAAAAGGTCGATTTTAAAAAAACGCCCAGCTTAGAATATACGGGACTACTAGTCCCGTATGTTTTGGGTGAACTAATCAGGGATTGTGAGATCAAATGAGTGTCCAATACGTGACTAGTAGTCCCGTATGTTTTCTATGATCACTAATCTGTGATTAGTTCATCCAAAACATACAGGACTAGTAGTCCCGTATGTTCTGAGCTGAGTGTTTTTTAAAATCGACATCTTTTTGGTCTGTTGGCCAAAAAGAGGTTAATTTTACTAAATAATTAGCAAAATGATCGACTTTATTAATTATTTAGCAAAAACGGTCTTTTTTTAAAAAAATTCCCTCTTTAAAATGCTTACTGCTATAACCATGAAGAAGATTAGAAGAATATATCAGCAACTAGGGGTGAGCATGGTTCGGTTCGGGTCGGTTTTTACCAAAATTTGAACAACCGAACCGAACCACCTACAATTCAAAACCGAACCAAACCATTACAAATCGGTTCGCGGTTCGGTTCGGTTTGTTCGGTTCTAACTTCATCAAGTATAACTTCACTTCAATTTATCTTTTATATATTATTATTACCCTATGCCAGCATGTATTTGTTTTTTAACTTCACTTCAATTTATTATTCTTGCTCATGTATGTATACTGTTTTTAAGTGAAGTAACTTGTCCTTTTGGATTAAATACTAGACTCTGACGTTGTAATTTTTTAGTAACGGACTTGCTTTGTCTTTGTGCAGTAAGCTTTGACTTTGGTCTTTGTGGAGACAAAAAAAAGGAGCTGACTCATTAGAACATTGGTTATGTATGAATCAATTCTCTGCAACTGCTATTCATGGTGATCGAACACAGCAGTAAACCCACAAATCAAAGGCACAAATATATTCGGTTGGTTCGGATCGGGTCGGTTTGAAAAATTGTCAACCCGACCCGAACCGCCTTACTCATAAAACCACTTTTTTCGGGTCAGTTCGGGTCGGTTCGGTCGGTTTTTTCGGTTTGAACCGAACCATGCTCACCCCTATCAGCAACAAATGGTTAGAAAAGCAAGCGAGAGTAAAAGAATAGAAAGTACCAGTGTCAGTTTTGAGTGGTGTTTTAGGCGTTGGGGTTCGTTTTACATTCGATGGTGCAAGATTGATCGCAACTTTTTGTGTTCTTTGCTTCAAACTCTCTTTTCCGCGAACTACTAATTGAGCTAGAGGAACATAGTCATCAGGGTCGGTTTCCTTCAAATTTTTCAACTTGCCCTTTCGTCTTCGAGATGTTTCATATATAGCCCTCACTTATGTCCATACGTGTATCAGGTGTGGGTTCTTCAGATGTGACCATATCCTATAGAAAAGTGTTATAGATTTCATAGAGTAGTTAGAAAGACACAATATCTTATTATGTCATTTTTTATCATATGAAAACTTCTCTAAAATAAGGAAGTAAAATAATTATCAAAAGCTGATGCAGTTTCATGAGAATTTTCATATTCAAGTAACTCCATTTTAACTAAGACCCACACGTCTCTATGCCTAGAATAGATCACCAGTAGTACTTAACATGTATGCATAGTATTTAAGCATAAATTGTTCTCATGTCATGTCCAATGTCTTCGAAAGGTGATTATTTATTTTCATCATTGGCTTGATAGAATAATTGTAGAAGAGTAAAAAGGCTTATACATCTTCCATTATGTTTCAACATAAAGTCTATAATCATGCATACTCCCAAGTTTAACCATGAAACATATTAAATCAAAGTTTAAAAGTGGAAAAAATAATGAAAATATAATCAGCGATCGAGAATTAATTGAGAAGGCATGGGGTAACACTAATCTAATTATGAAAACACGTCTACTTAAAGATAATTGAATATAACCCTAACCAAAATGTTACATAAGATTGTTTAAAAAATCTCAGCAAATATTATGCGAAAAAATTTAATGATGAAATGCATGCAATTTAGCGGTACACTAAACCAGCAGTCAAAGATTATACAAAGAAGTTACTAAAAGGAAAAGAACTATAGATAGTGTAGAAACGGGAACAACGGCGATGAAGTTCAGGCAAATTTACGAAGGGAACATTTTGGAGGCCTTACGGTCGGTCGCGATGACTTCGGCGGTCGACCGGAAATGTGCACGAGTATACAAGGTGTGTTTCTGCACTCTGGCAGGTCGACGCCGTGGCCGACCGTCAAACATTGTAATTGATTTTTAGTTTCTATCGTTTGCCACGGTCGACCGCGACTTTGTCGGCGGTCGACCGCGGGGTGATTTTGAGCTTTCTTGTGAGAGCAAATTGGTGAGAGTTGAGAGCTTTGTTTGAGAGATTAATTTGAGGGTTTGTGAGTGATTTGTATCTCTATTTTGTGTTCTCTCTCTCTCTAATAGTGAAAACCTCTCCCCTTCTTGCCCCGTGGACGTAGACAACTTGCTGAACCACGTAAATCTCCTGTTTTGAGTTTGTGCTGTTATTTTTGATTTGATTTTGTGTGTCTTCTCTCTCGGCAACTTTGTGGATTCTGCTGCGCCGCCGCACTATAAGTGGTATTAGAGCTTCAGGCTCGCTTGGGGTTTGGTGGAGGAGTAGATCGCTTTGGAAGCTCTTCTAGGGTTTTAATTGGAGATAAAGGTGAAATCTTTTTGGAAAAAAAATCTACCTTTTATCAGTTTGGATCTATTCTTCAGTTTGTTCCGCATTAGTTTGTTGGTGCTTTGGGAAAGATAGCTGGGAAAGAAGATGCATCGAGTGTTAAGAGTGGTACTTCTGGCGTGAAGTCTATTCAAAGTTTGAATATCCACTCTACAAAGATAGATATGGAGAATTTTAATGGCACAAACAACTTTGGTTTATGGAGATGTGA